TTAATTACTGTAAATGTGTTCAATACAAATATAATATTTATAGTTTTTCATTATTTATCGGGTTTAGAAAAAATAGCGTATGCAACTCTCATGTAATGGTTATTAATACACTCGCATATACCATACAAAACTCGCCTTCGGCTCGTTTCGTATCCCGGTTAATGCTCGTGTCTTAATAACCATCATTACATGATCGTTGCATAATATACTATTATATTTCCATTATAATTCTATATGCTTGTATAGAATTTTTTTTCAAATCTGTAATTCATGACATTTGATTAAGATTTCACTTGCTAATTATATTACAACAATATGTGTATCTCTGAAGATAAAACAGATATTTCAACACTGCAGAAGTATGTTCTGTAAAGAATAACTCAAATTTACATAAACAGGACAATGACAGCCTGGACTGTTGTTTACACTGTTCTTCTAAACTTTGTTATTTTTAATGTATTCAAAAAACAAACTTTAATGTGAGATTTCCACTTGTTATTTTTACAAATAATCAAGTTTACTTTTTTCTCTCAGTCGTTTGAAACAATTTCAGCCTCAAGTGTATTTTGTTGGAAGTATAGAATATTAGATAACCAAATGAGAATATTCAAATTACTTTTTGGAAAGAAAAATAAACCTTCGAAACAAATTTGCATAATCCAAAATTGAATAAAATACATAGGAATCTGAAAATCTAAGTATAAACAAGAAAATGAATATTATACAAGAAGCAACATATTAATATATTCAATATTAGGTAACAAAAAAACGGCTATACACATGTACAAATTTACTCTGAAATTGTACTGTTTTTTCAATTGCTTAAATTGCAGATTCATCTGCAGTATGAAGTGATTATGACAAATAACTAAGAAAACGTGCATCTATAAATACATCATATTCTGGAGACGGGCATATGATATGCCCAAGTTCTGACGAGTCCTACAATTTTATAGATGTGTGACAGATACCCAATGGAAAACAACAGCTAACCTAGCTAATGCCGTGCAGAAAGCTGAAGTAAAACCATAAGGCACCTGTACAACGCCTTCCATTTGGAAGATTTGTCGCAAGTAACTACCTATACAGTGTGTCCGCAAAGTATGGAATAAATTCAATATTTCCAAAACCAAAGGTCGTTTTACAAAAACCTGAAACACGTCGATTTTTAATTTCAATATTCTACATTTTACAACAATATTGCATTATACAGGGTGATCCTTATTAATGTGTTGACGTCATTGGTAATTTTTTTGTATTTGGTGTCAGTTTTAGATAATCCGTGACAAGCTGATTTCGAATAGCTATGATACTTGGGGTCTAACAGACAGAATTTGAAAGATGTGCGCTTAGAAAATAAATTTTATTGATATCTAATAAAAGTAGAA